CATGGTTTACAGTCATGAACAAATTACAAAGTAATGAACCACTGATACGTCCACACCTGGTCACAATTGTAATGAGTTATAAATACAAAAATTAAGTGGATTCATACACCCACACTAGTGCGCGCGCGCACATACACACACGAGGGCGCACGCACGGACATGTGCACACGAGCGTACAAATATATGCATACACACAAGGACGCACACCCCACACACACACACCCACACACACACACACCAACACCCACACACCAAAACACCCTCACACACACCCACACACACACCCTCACACACCCACACACACACACCCACACACACACACACACACACCCACACACGCACACACACACCCACACACGCACACACACCCACACACGCAACACACACACACACACGCACACACACCCTCACACCACACCCGCAACACACCCTCAACACCCACACACACGCACGCACACAACACACACACAACACACACACACACACACACACACACACACACACACACACACACACACTACCACTACTACTACTTCTACCACTACTACTATTACTACTACCACCACTACCTCTTCCTGCCTACATATAGCCGTCATGCTCTACTTCTGGTTAGTGTGACTTTGTAAATGGTCCAAGTCGGACCGAAACGTCGTCGTAAGCTCCTCTCTTCTATGTGCGGGTTATTTGTGTATAAATCCCAATGATTTCTATATACTGGTAATATAGTTATTATATATTTAAAGTTATGTGTATCGTAGCGTAGTCTGGCCGAATTTTTTGATAATTGTCATATTACGTTCGTTAGGCGACTATTACAATATCAGTGCCTGTGGGCTGGCGCCCCCACTCCACAAAGAGTTCCTTGTACTATCTTCAAAATTGCGATCCTGATAGTGTTTATTTCAACACAAAAAACCTAGAGCTATCATTCAACTCCCCATGGTTGTTTTGCATCTTGTATCGCTTTTTTTTCTTATTCGCCTGTTAGCGATATATATATAACCTGGAGTTTACCTGGGGAGGTTTTTGGGGCAACGCCCCGCGGCCCGGGCTGTACCCCGGCCCCCTGTGGATCAGCCCTGATAACCCGGCTGTTGCTGCTGGGGTGCACCAAACCAAAGTACGAGCCACAGCCCGGCTGATCAGGAAAATGACTTTTGGTGCTTGTCCGTGCCAGCTTGAAAAACCCCAAACCCACCCCCCCCAAAACCCCCCCCAAAAAAAACCCCCCCCCCCCCCTAACCCCCCCCCCCCCAAAACCCCCCCCCCCCCCCCACCCCCCCCCCAAAAAACCCCCAAAAACCCCCAAAACCCACCCCCCCAGAACCAACCCCCCAAAACCCGCCCAACCCTCCCCCCCAAGGCCCACAAAAAACCCCCCAAACCCCAAAAACCCCCAAAAACCAAAAACCCCCCCTCCCTTTCAACCAATAAAAATTTATTAACCCCCACACCCTTCTGCCTCTAAAAGCGTTTTTCCCTTCGGGTTTTGGGGGAAAGGGCCGCGGGCCGCGGTAAGTCCTCCTTTTGTGGGGGGTTTTTTGGTTTCCCAATTTTTTAAAAAGGGTAAATTTTTCATAAAAGTTTGTTGAAATCTTTGAGTGGGAATTTTTTAAAAATTCTTTACTTCTTACTCTTTTACTAGTGTTGGGGGGCGGCGGTACCCGGAAAATTTTTTGGGGGGCCCCCCGGAGCCCCTTAAGGGTAAAAAAAAAAACCCAATTTTTCCCCCCCATTTTTTTTGTTTTGTTCCTTTTTTTTTTTTCGCCTTTCTTTTTTTTTTTGGGGTTTTTACCTTTTTTTCCCGGGGCCCCCCCTTTCCCATTTTTTTTGGGCCCTATTTTTTTTTTTTCCCCAAAACCCAAACTGGAAAACCCGGCTATGAAAAAAAATTGGTTTTTCCCCGGGAAACCCGGGGTTGTTTTTCCCCCCTTAGGGGGTTAAAGTTTGCATCCGGGCCAAATTTAAATTTCTCAACCTAGTCCCCCCTTTTCGGGGGGTGTCCCCCAATTTTTGTTTCGAAATTTTTCGGGGAATTCTCACCCCAAGGACCCCCCCTTTTTAAAAAAGTTCCCCCCCCCCGGCCAAAATCATTTAAAATAGGGAAGGGGGGTTTTTAACCCCTTTGCCCCTAAATTCCCCTTACTTTTTCATCCTTTTCCCGTTAAAGTCTGAAAGTCCAAAAAAAACCCCCAAATAAAAAACCCAAAAGGGTTAAGGGGCCCCCCCCAGTTTGAATTTTTTAACCACCTGCTTTTTTAGAAGGGGGGAATTGAACAAGTTTGGCCTTGGGTGGGTTTTTTCCAAAAAATAAAACCCCCCGGTCTTTCGTTGGTTTTGTCTTTTTTCCTTTTTTTTTTTTAAAAAAATTTTAATTTATTTTTTTAAATTTAATTTTTTCTCATCGTTGAACTTCTTTTTTTTTTCCCCCCAAAAATTTTTTTTGATGTCCCCGGAGCCTTGGTGTCTCAAGGGAAACACTGCATCATTTTTGTTTAAAGAAGACACGGTGCGTGGCTGACATCCTTTTTGGGGATGGGGGAAAAAGATGGGAGCTAGTACTGTGCCTTGGGGAACAGAGCTTTCACCCTGCTGCCTCGGAAATTTTCCTGTTGACGACAAAAAAATATTAAAATATAATGTCGTGCCGATTGTAAAAACGGGCAATTGCAATAACTCTTTTTAAAAAAGTCCCTTTTTGAAAAATTTTTTTTTATACTTTAAAGATAATTTTTTTCATTAATGTTTAAAGTAAAAAAAATTAATTTTTGCACCAAAAAAATCTTAGAAAAAATTCCCCAACCTTTTTTTAACAAAACAATTTTTTTAGCCTAAACCCAAAATACTTTAAAAATGTTTTACAAAAATTTTGTGTAAAAAAACACAATCAAATATTTTTTTTCGTTGGTTTAGAAAGATTTTGACGAAATTATTGCATCAAAAATTTTCACTTGTCCTATATAGCAAAATGAGCGTTGCTATTAAGCCAAGACGCAAGTTCTGCCTATTTGGCACGACATAAATATATATTATATATATATTATATTTTATAATAAATTTTTAATTTTTATATATAAATATATATAATTTTTAAAAATATATATAATATATTAAAATTATTTATATTTAAAATATATATATATAAAATTATATATTAAATAATTTTAATAATTATATATATATATATATTTTTCGTGCCGAATATGTAAAACTGTCAATAAACAAGAATCATTTTAAAATTAAGTCCTTTCTAAAATTTCCTCTTATACGTTTTTTGAATATTTTTTTCATTTTAAAAAATGTAAAAAAATTTTAATTTTGCACCAAAAGAACCCTTTAAAAAACTTACCTAACCTTATGCAAGAGCAATTTATTTTTGCCCAACCCAAAAAATATATTTTGATTTGTTTATAATAAATTTTAAACTAAACAAACACTGAAATAATTTTTTCTTTAGGTTCAAAAATTTTTGGGGAAATTATTGCATACCAAATTTTACTTGCCATATGGAAGAGAACTTTTCTTTTAAACCAAATCGAATTTTGGGCCTTTTCGGGACGATATATAAATTATTATATAAAATATATATATATAATATATATTATTATATATATATATATATATAATTATATATATATAGCAAAAAAACCCTTTTGAAAAAAATAGAAAGTTCCAACGCTTTCGTCTACTCACATTATCAAGAACAATGAAAGAAAGCATCAAAGGAAGGATAAAAAGGGGTAGCCCACACCTCACTATATAATTAATATATATATATATATATATATATATATTAATTTAAAAATTATTATATTTAAAAATATTATTATATATTAATTTTATAATGTCCGCCTAATAAAAATTGCGACTTGGGGTCTGGTGGCTAACGCTCTCGCTTTACACTGGAGAGCCTGGGTTCGACCCAGCCAAGAGAACATTGGCTGTTTCTTTCCATCTGTTGTCTATGTTCCCCTCTAAAAAAGGGAATGGGGTTTGTCGACTGGGGTTTGGGTCGCATCCGGGACACTACCTAATTTGCCCGACAGCGGAGATAACCGGGGGTTTTTTATATATTGTATTCTTTTTGTCAGCAGGGCTGTATACCAGTACTTTTAGTAAATGAAGATATTTTTTATCTTATTATTTAAATAACAACGCTCTTCTTGCGGAATAAGGGAAGAAAAATTTTGGGGATTCAAAAATTTCGCAAAATCGTCTGAACTAACGAAAAAAAATATATTCTTGTGTTTGTTTATTAAATTTCTATAAACTTTTCTAAGATTTATTTAGCTGAATTAACTAAATTAATTATGCTGTTATAATAAGGGTTTGGTTGGTCGACACATGCCTAACCCCTTTTAGGGTAGGTAGGGCCGAGCCCGACCTTTTTGCTCTAAGATTCATTCCCATTTTCCCCCCCTTTGGGGGGGGGATGGGAGAACCAAAAGGGGCCCAGCTTGTGGTAGGCCTGGGACAGTTGGGTCCAAAGATGGGAGGTATTGTGCCCCTCCCATGGGAGACTTAGGGCCAACACTCCCTAAAGAGGGAGCCCAACCCGGGGGCCCCACTTGGAAAAGGCCCGGCCGGGGGGAATACCGGCGAATCTTAATAATAATAAATAAGGTTAGGTTAGTTTTCAAAGGTACTTTTGGTACAAAATTATTAATTTTTACATTAACGTAAATGGAAAAAAGTATATCTTTAAACGTATAAGAGAAATTTTTAGAAAGGACTTAATTTTAAATGAGTTCTTGCTAACTGACCAATTTTACATACTCACCACGAATAGGTAAAATTACTTGGTGAAGAACTAGGTTAAACATTGAAAAAATAATTCATTAAATGTTTTCTTAAATGGGATTCAATTCTATGCATGATTGTGTATAAATTAAGTATTTAACATGCAGATATTAAGCAATGTTATAATATTATTATGAGATCGTACGGCAGCAGCGGGGTGGAGAAAGTGACCCTGACGATATTTTTAATTCAACACCCAGCCAGCTCTGGCAACTCACTCTCCTCAGTGTATTCTAGCTCACTTTCAGTGTGTTGAAGTCTTCACAAGTATTTCTAGCTCGCTCTCCAAAGTGTATTGAAATCACCATTAGTGCAGCCAGCTCACTCTTAGTTTGTTTGCCTCATTCTTTGTACTGTTGTGTGTGTTGTCACTCATGACGTCAAGAGAAGTGTAGCCCAGTTGGTGTACCATGATAGTGGGAAGTGATGGGAGAACACAGCTTGTGGTAGCCCTACTCTTCTTTGTGTTATGGCTTTCAGCTGTTTCAGGTAAATTCTATCACTCTGTATTCTCAGTAAGCTCCATTAAGCAATAAAATATTCTAGTTTAAGTTTACCACTCATTTCTGCCGAAACATTGTCATTTATGGTTATAACAATAAATTATACTGTGTTAGTACCTATGTAAGACAATCATTCCGAAGGAGATATAAATAGTGATTGCATTATTTAATAAAGAGATTTTAATCTTGGAAAAGCTGTTTAAAATTATTTTAAGGTTCTTTAATATTATTAGTGTTCAGCCTTTTACATCTTTAATTTTTGTCTTGTAAAAATTATTAACCTGCCTGTTATTTGAGTTATAATAATCTTTTGTAAAAATTAATTTGTGTAGTATCTCGCCAGTTATGTTCATAGCAGGTTTCAGTTAACACCTCCCATCTCTCTCTCTCTCTTTACTCGACTCTCTAATACTGGTTAGCCTTGAGAAAGCTAACTGTTACTACACGTGTGTGTTTGGGGAGGGGGATGTTGAAGGGGGGGGGTCGAGTTTCATCTGGCCCAGTATCTCTGCTGGCCGTTAATGGACTTAAGTGTTTGGACTTCTTTCCTGGCTGCGTAAGCCGTATCATACTTAGTTTTAGTTATGTATATATTCTACATCTACTACAGAATTTTCATGGGTTTTCCACTACCTGACTACTCGGGCTACATTATTATTATTATTATTATTATTATTATTATTATAATCAAGGGGGAAGCGCTAAACCCGGAGGATTATACAGCGCCTGGGGGAGGATGTGGAAGGCATTCAGGCTTAATTCGGGGAACTGGAGCACAGATCCAATTCTCTAAATCAAGAGCCCCTCACCAACATCAAGGAACCTTCCTTGAGGGGCTCGGGCTACAGCAATATTTCCTAACATCCCTGTGACTTTTTCTTCAAGCGGTGTCCTCGTGTTTTTGTTGCCTAACCTCTCGGAGACTCATTGTTCACCCTATCATTTCCTCTTATTATTTTGTAATTCCCTATCATGTTACCCATGGTTCTTCTGCGCTCTGATATCAGGTTTAGCTACTTCAGTCTCTCCTCGTAGGTCATACACCTTAGCTCCTCCACTAGTCTAGTGGCAAGCGTCTGCATTCTTTAAACTTCTCTACATGTGAAGGTTTCATCCAGGTTCTGAATACTTCAAGATGCCCCTGACATATGCTGTGTATAGGCTCGTGAATGGCTCCTTATTAAGATTACTGAAAACTAATTATAAATTTGCCAGATGTGTATTTGCTGCAGAGGTTATTCAGTTGTGTACCTCAGGTCATATTCTTTATCCCATGTTCACACCGAGGCCCTCCTTGAGTGAGGTTTGCAACCTGTTTCCCCAAGCCTGTACTCCATTTCAGTCTTAGTCTTTTCTCAGTTTTTATAATTTTGCATTTGCTAGTGTTAAATTGTAATAACCATTTATTAGAGAACTCTTGCAGCTTGTCCAGTTCCTTCTGTGGTCATTCCTGGTCCCCTGTTTGTATTCCTTTCATTAGGTTTTACATGTGCAAATAAGGATACCTCTAACTCTGTCATCGTATTTAAAATCGTTAGACAAACACACTGAGGCACTCACGCCATGCTTCCAGAAAGTCACTATATACAGCATGAGTGCATTGGCAACTAGCTTGCCGCTGGACCTCTCAGTTAAAACAATGGCTTGACTCCCCAGCACGACCACCCACAGTTTAGTGCGTCACTCTCAAGCACTTTACAAATTACCGTTTGTTGAGGAAGTTTTCACCACAAGTCAAATTACAGTTACTGCTTTGTAATCGTATATTGCTGAATTCAGTTTTTTCCTGAGTCTTCTTAATCAAGGATTTACTGTGGTTTACTTAAATTTAGTCCTAAAGCATATATGTTAATTGCTGTGTGTGAATCTATTCTGCAACTCCTATTCTTCAACAGAGGTCGGTGCATCATCGTCGTCGCTGCTGCTGTACTCGACCCTCTCATGGAATGGCCTCCGGGGTAATGTCAAGTTTTCCTGGGATGGACCTGGTACCAACATCACCGTCCAGGTTGATGTAGAGATCACTGGTTTGAGCCTCGTGCCTGATCCCGAGGAATATGACTGGGCCATCCATGACTGGCCCACCAGATACGATATCAAGGATCGCTGTACAGCCTCTTCTCTGGGAAGCAGGTAAGTACAGTACAGGACTTAAGAAATCGTAATGACACGATTGCAAATAAACCATACCCCCGGCCGGGATTGAACCCGCGGTCATAGAGTCTCAAAACTCCAGCCCGTCGCGCTAACCACTAGACCAGCTAGCCACAATAAGATTCATCCAACTAGGTATATTTCTACACCATAGGAAGGTTAGCACAGGCACCTCTGTGACCACAAATGCAAGTTTTTACAGACGAATCTCCAGCTAGCGTGGCCGTGACGAACTCTAGCTCAAGTCCCTTCACTGCCGTCAACATGACTTAAGAAATCGTAATGACACGATTGCAAATAAACCATACCCCCGGCCGGGATTGAACCCGCGGTCATAGAGTCTCAAAACTCCAGCCCGTCGCGCTAACCACTAGACAGCTAGCCAAATAAGATTCATCCAACTAGGTATATTTTCTACACCATAGGAAGGTTAGCACAGCACCTCTGTGACCACAAATGCAAGTTTTTACAGACGAATCTCCAGCTAGCGTGGCCGTGACGAACTCTAGCTCAAGTCCCTTCACTGCCGTCAACATGACTTAAGAAATCGTAATGACACGATTGCAAATAAACCATACCCCCGGCCGGGATTGAACCCGCGGTCATAGAGTCTCAAAACTCCAGCCCGTCGCGCTAACCACTAGACCAGCTAGCCACAATAAGATTCATCCAACTAGGTATATTTCTACACCATAGGAAGGTTAGCACAGGCACCTCTGTGACCACAAATGCAAGTTTTTACAGACGAATCTCCAGCTAGCGTGGCCGTGACGAACTCTAGCTCAAGTCCCTTCACTGCCGTCAACATTACGATTTCTTAAGTCATGTTGACGGCAGTGAAGGGACTTGAGCTAGAGTTCGTCACGGCCACGCTAGCTGGAGATTCGTCTGTAAAAACTTGCATTTGTGGTCACAGAGGTGCCTGTGCTAACCTTCCTATGGTGTAGAAATATACCTAGTTGGATGAATCTTATTGTGGCTAGCTGGTCTAGTGGTTAGCGCGACGGGCTGGAGTTTTGAGACTCTATGACCGCGGGTTCAATCCCGGCCGGGGGTATGGTTTAAGTACAGTACAGTACAGTACAGTACAGGAGTTTCACAACTGACTATAGGGGGGTCACTATATCTAATCTGCTTAATATTAACATTTCTAAGAAAGAATGAGCGAATATTAAATGTAATGTTAGTTTTTAATTTAGGAGTCGAGCGCCAAGATAAAACACATGGGCATCAAGAAGAAACTTAAATATTCGACCTCTGCAACACGATTATCCTCAAAGATTTATTAGAGGTCCCGTAGCTCGATCGCTAGCGCACTCGGCTCACACACAGGTCCGGAGATCGAATCCCCGGTACGGCTGGAAAACATCAGTCTAAAATGGGTACCTGGGTGTTAGTGGACTGGTGTGGGTCCCATCCTGGGACAACTGACCTAATTTGCCCGAAATTCTCAATATAACAAGCGGCTTTCTATGTAGTAGTATGTCATTGATGTAAGCTAGGCCTGTATATCTTGTACATGTACTGGTAAAATTAAAGATATTATCATTATATTACAAAAGTTATACCATGAATTAAAGGAAGATCCTAGACTTCACCTTACGAAACACACGAGGCAAATGCGACAGTTATGATGGACAAGGTAGATCATACTGGAAAAAATAAACATGTTTTTTAGAAGACAAGGGAACTTGGGGGCCTCTTAAGCTGAGCTGCAAAATAGCAATGTTGATCATATACTTAGCACAGCCAGACTTTGCACGGCAAACAAATGTAATAATTAATCTGCTGTTCTTCACCTTTCTCTACCAAATAAATGTGAGCTTACTACAACTGCATGAAATGAACGTATGTAAACTATGAATGAGTTTGGCAAGGAGTGAATTCATTTATTGAAAATATATATTTTTTTAATCTTATTAATATTCATATCTGCAGATCAAATGTATTTTCACTAATATCTCGAAATCTAATTTGCACAAAAAATACTTATTCCGTGGTGTAAATTGTGTGTGTTGTCAAATGTCAACAAGGGAATGGTTCCACCGAGTAGTAGTTGGTAACTATACCCAATACGTATACATTTGTCAGCCATAGATAATAATGCACAGTAATTGTTAATTTACAGAAAATGGGATTTGTCACGGTTGCTGGGGAGACTAACACTTCCTCAGAATTCGTCGGCAATATTCGAAACAGACCAATTGAGTTTTGTAGGCGAGAACTCCATATGGGGCCGCTCTCTCAGGATCTACGGCAAAAGCAGGAGTACCTGTTCCAACATCCATGTGAGTAACGTAGAAGGTAACTTCAGTAGGACAATGACCAGTAATATTGTAGGTTTTGTGGAAGTGGATTTACGGTTGTATTTTTCTAAATTTACTTTGACGTCCATCTCTCATCAAGGTAGGGTGACTCGAGACTGACATCAAGACTGATGAACTGAGCGCATAGACTTGAGGTACGGATTACCATAAACTGTATAGTATATAGTAGTTCTACAGTATAGAATATATTCTGTAGAGTATATATACACCATATACATATAAACAGAAGTGTGTGTATATATATATACACACTTCTGTTTTGTATATATGCTGTATGGTATACAGTATATACTGTATGGTATATAGTTCTAGTCCCCACATTATGTCCTTGTACTAAATTGATAAAGCCACTGGATGGCGAAACGTCGACAAATATAAATAACCTACATCAATATGCATCTGATTCAAATACATGCAATAAAGAGAACTCAAGTGTGTTTGAACCGAGAGATCAGTCACCTCTTACACACAAAACTCAGAACATCTCTGCCAACAATCCTAACTTATACATGAATGGTACATAATATACCAACAAGATGAATAATTAAAACATATGCAACATGTTGCATATGTTTTAATTATTAATCTTGTTGGTATATTATGTACCACAGATGTATATTATGTACCACAGATGGTCAGGGTGGAGGGCGCCCATTACAGCTAAGTAAAGTTTACGGGGTCCCGACAAATCAGGAAGGGTGATCTTTGTGGTTGAGTAGAACTTGCGTGAAAAACGAGATCTGCGAGGAGCAAGGAACACACTAAAATTAATCTTGTTGATATATACTGAGGTTTGCTAGTTAAATTTGCCACAATTCACCAACATACCCTGAAGCAATGCAGGTCACTGAACTATCTTTTAGATGACAATATCTTAAAGTATGTGGCTGACTAACCTACAGCAATTCCAGGAACAGCTGTTAAAAATTGACCACTGTCTGGAAAACCTTCCAGCTCCTGCACCCAACATCTTGCTCCTGGGGGATTTCAACTTAAGGCACCTAAAATGGAGGAATATAGCAAATAATATTGTTGCAGTAATAACCCCAGGAGGCAGCTCTGATGAAAACTCACACTCACGCGAGCTTTTAAATCTCTGCACAAAATTCAATTTAAACCAGCAAATAATAGAGCCTACTAGACTGGAGAATACACTAGACCTCATCTTCACTAACAATGATGATCTGATAAGAAATATCACCATATCAAAAACAATATACTCAGATCACAACATAATTGAGGTTCAGTCATGTATGCGCGGAGCCCCAGACCGACATAATGAGATTAGTCACGAGGGAGCATTCACCAAATTCAACTTCAATAACAAAAACATTAAAGTGGGACCAGTAAAGCCAGTCCTAACCGATATAAGACTGGGAAAGAATACTAAGCAACACAGACCCCAACTTATGCCTAGAACAGATATTAACTCGGTGGCTAAGCCACCTCGATGTAATGCACATGGTTATTCCTCTAAGAAAAAGGAGGAGTAGATGTTAAAACAGAAAGAGACAGGCGCTCCCTTTACAGGCACGACGGAAAAAAGAATAACAGAGCGGGCTAAAAGAGGTCAATATATCTGAAATGCGTAGGGAGACACTGGTCAGAGAAATAGCAAGCATCGAAACTTAAGTCTAAAAGAATCCTTTAGGAAGTCAGGAATCGCAGGGAAGAAACTAAAAAGCCATCAAATGAAATCGGAAAGAAAACCCAAAAGTATTTCTTCTCCCTATGCCAAATCAAAATCGAGAAACAACGTCCAGTATTGGGCCCCTACTTAAACAAGATGCGGTCTACAAGGTATGACAAACAACGGAAAAATCCCCCCATATAGAAGTGAAGCTACTCAAGTCCCCAATAGACTCAGTTTGTTAGCAAGCCGACTAACCCATAGTCTGAGAGTACGAAGATCAAAATGAATATTTTTTTATGTGAGAAGAGCCACAAAATTTGATTAACTCAAGCTATCCGATGTTATCCTGGACTCCAGAATGACTTCGAACAGGCGATAATTGACATGCCCATGCTACTTGGCCCCAGGGCCAGAACTCAGGAACTGTTGTTCATGTCAAGAACTGCAGAAGCCCCTATCACGAGCCTTTTCCATCCATGGAGAGGGAGCATGGACACGGGTGGTTCTCCCACAGTTACCTAAAAACAACAGACATAGCCCCACTCCACAAAGGGAGCAGTAAAAAGTAAGTTAAAGCATCAGCAAAGAACTACAGTACCAATAGCACTAACATCCATATCATAAAAATCTTTGAAAGGGTCCTAAGAAGAAAGATCACCACGGCATCTAGGAAACCCTTAGATACACACCCAGGCAAACATGGGTTTTTAGAACAGGTCGCTCCTGTCTGTTCTCACTTTTGGACCACTACGTCAAGTCCTAAATGCACTAGAAGACAAAAAGCAATGCAGATGTAATATATACAGACTTTGCAAAAGCCCTTCACAAGTGGACCTGGCGTAATAGAACACAAAAATGCGTGCTAAAGGAATAACAGGAAAAGTTGGTGGTTCGTTGGATCATTAATTTCCTCTCTAACAGAACACAGAGAGTAGTCGTCAAACAGAGTAAATTCCGAGGTAGCTACGGTGAATGAAAAAGCTCTGTTCCAACATAAGGCCAGTACTCCTCCACCATACTTGTTTCCTCATCCTTATATCCGACAATAGACAAGGATGTCAGCCACAGCACCGTGTCTTTCCTTTGCAGATGACCCCGAATCTGCATGACAGTGCTCTTCCATTTGCACAGGCACTGCAAGCTCCAGGAAGACATCAACCAAATCTTTCAGTGGGCTGCAGAAAACAATATGAATGTTCAACGATGAGAAATTTCAATTACTAAGTTATGGTAAAATGAGGAAATAATAATCTTCATCAGAGTTACCAAAACAAATTCTGGCCACAAATTAGAGAGAAACACCAACGTCCAATGACCCTGGGGAAGTTGATCATGTCGGAGGATCTCACCTTCAAGGACATAAAACATTGTAGCAATCGCATCTGCTAGGAAAAATGACAGGATGGATAATGAGAACCTTCAAAACATAGTGGAGGCCAAGCCCATTGAGACCACTCTTTCAGGTCATTGTTCTATCTAGGTGGAATATTGCTGCACAAAACAGCACTTTCAAGGGCAGGTGAAATTGCCCGACCTAGAAAATGTACAGAGAACTTTCACGGCGCGATAACGGAGATTATAAAACACTCAATTTATGGGGAGCGCTTGGAGGTCCTAAACCTGTATTCCCTGGAACGCAGGAGGGAGAAGATACTGATTATATAACCTGGAATAATCCTAGAGGGACTTGTACGAACTTGCACACGGAGAAAATCACCCACTACGAAAGCCAAAAGACTTGGAGACGATGCACCATCCCCCCCAATGAAAAAGCAGGAGGGTTGTCACTAGCACGTTAAGAGACCATTACTAATAAGTGTCAGGGGCCCGAGACTGTTCAACTGCCTCCAGCAACACATAAGGGGGATCTACATACCAACAGACCCCTGGCAGTCTTCAAGCTGGCACTGGACAAGCTCCTAAAGTCAGTTTCCGGATCAGCCGGGCTGTGGCTCGTTGTTGGTTTGGTGAAGCCGCAGCAACAGCCTGGTAGATCAGGCTCTGATCAACCAGGAGGCCTTGTCTCAGACCGGGGCCGCGAGGGGGCTTGTGAGCACACGAAACTCTCTCCAGGTAAACAGGTTAGCTCTACCTCTTTCCCATTCCACAACTCCTGACATATGCAACATGTTGCATATGTTTTAATTATTCATCTTGTTGGTATATTATTTACCATTCATGTATAAGTTAGGATTGTTGGCAGAGATGTTTCTGAGTTTTGTGTGGTAAGAGGTGACTGATCTCTCGGTTCAAACACACTTGAGTTCTCTTTATTGCATGTATTTGAATCAGATGCATATTGATGTAGGTTAAAAAAGTTCTCTGTAATATATTCTTTTAAACTAGAAAAAATCTCTATCTCCCATTAGATCTTGTAAGAACGTTGTCTGACACTGAAACATTGGTTTATAGCTGTATGATTAAAGAGCATCCAATGTACATATTGTAGGGCATAGGTGGAGAAAGAACTTACGAGGCGCGGTTCCACAATCCTATTGGTGGTTCCATCTGGCTGAGCAACTGGCCGTGGGTGGGTTGTGGGGTTAAGGCGCAGACGACAGAGGAGAAATGAAGGGCATTCAGACCACTATCTTCATGATGGTTCAACACTGCGGATGATGGACCGGTCTCTGGGGAACCACAGCTGGGCCTTCCTTCTTTATCACGGGACACCTCGACAACAAAAGGTAAGGAATAACCTTACTTCTGTACCCCCTCTTCTATAGTATACTCTCCTTTACCTGTACCTCCTCTGATTCTTTATGTCTTCCTTGTTGGTTGCTCCACTTTCTTGGTATCTCATCCTGTCTATGGTGCTCTGTCCCTTCAAAATATTTTATTTCTACTTGATACATCACTCTGCAAAAAAATTGGAGTGACATTACAGTAACATGGAAGCTCAGCATTCTCCACATGCTCGCTTCCCTGGAATCTCTTCACTCCTGACCCTAATGCCTCTTATACCCGTAAAGTCTGAACACGACAATACATATATTCACCAGATCACTCACAAAGTTAATGGTGTAAATATTTTTATACTTGAGCTTAATTAAGAAGTGGTGGTCAGAATAGTGAAAACATTCATCTCTTGAACAATCTTAATTTACACAAACATTCAGGATATCCATTTTCAGGAGTATTTTTTAATTTTTTATATACAACCAAATAAGTAAAATTTGGTTCATTTTATAAATGTTCTAGTAGTTCATATTTGTTTGTTAGAATTATTGTTCACAAGAACTATAGATTCAATAATTATGTATTTTTAAAAACTGTACTTGTAGAAGTATGTTTTTACAGTGTTTGTGTGCTGTTGTGTGGTTGTGTGTGTGTGTGTGTGTGTGTGGTATGTTGTTGTGCTGTGTGTGGTGTGTGGCTGTCTGTTGTGTGTATGTGTGTGTGTGTGTGTGTTGGGTGTGTGTGTGCTGTGTGTGTGTGTGTGTGTGTGTGTGGTGTGTATGTATGATGTTGTTGTGTGTGTATGTGTGTGTGTGTGTTGTGTGATTGTGTGTGTGTGTGTTGTGGTGTGTGTGTGTATGTGTGTGTGTGTGTGTGTGTGTGTATGATGTCGAGCTGTGTGGTTGTAACGTGTGTGTGTGTGTGTGTGTGTGTTGGATGTGTGTGTGTGTGTGTGTGTTTGTGGTGTGTGTATGTATGATGTGTGTGTGTGTGTGTTGTATGTTGTGTGTGTGTGTATGTGTGTGTGTTGGTATGTGTGTGTATGTGTGTCGCTGTGTGTTATGTGTATGTGTGTGTTGTGTATGTGTGTGTGTTAGTTACCATTTTGTCCTAGGCACCATGTCGATCTAGACACTTGGGCCTGTGGTGTGGTGTGTGCGCGTGTGTGTGTATGTGTGTTTTGTGTATGTGTATGTGTGTGTATGTGTATGTGTGGGTTATGTGTATGTGTGTGTGTGTTTGTGTGTGTGTGTGTATGTGTATGTGTGTGTTGTGTTGTGTATGTGTGTGTGTGTGCGTGTATGGTGTATGTTACTCACTATTTGGTACTCACCTAGTTGATGGGTTGGAGGGGTCGAGTCCGAGCTCCTGCCCCCGCCTCTTCACTGATCGTAACTAGGTCATCGTCCCCGAGCCGGTGTGCTTTATCCATACCTACTGACTTAAAGCTATGTATGGATCCCGTGCATCCACTACATCGCTTCCCAAACTATTGTCCACTTACGACTACTCTGTGGCCTGCAAGAATACTCTAACATCACTGTGATATCTCTGTGTCTTTAGCTTCACAACCTGTGTCCCCTTGTTACTGTGTCCAATCTCTGGAACATCCTGTCTTTGTCCACCTTGTCAATTCACCTCAGTATTTTGTATGTCGTTATCATGTCCCCCTATCTCTCCTGTCCTTCCAGTGTCGTCAGGTTGATTTCCCTTAACCTCTGCCTCGTAGGACCTACCCTTAGCTCTGGGAACTAGGTCATTGTTGGCAAACCTTTGCCACTTTCTTAGTTTCTTTACGTGCTTGGCTAGGTGTGGGTTCCAAAATGGTGCCGCCATACTCCAATATGGGCCTAACGTATTACGTTTAGTAAGGCGTCCTGAACGATCCTTATTAAGATGTCGGAATGCTGTTCTGAGGTTGTCGGCGCCCTATATGCTGCAGCAGTTATTTGGTTGATGTGCGCTTCAGGGAGATGTGCCTCGGTGTTAGACTCACCCAAGATCTTTTTCCTGAGTGAGGTTTGTATGTCTCTGGGGGGGGGGAACCCCTAGACTGTACTCCGTCTTGCGGCCATGTCTTTGCCCCCTTCCCCATCTTCATGACCTTGGCATTAGGTGGGATTGAACTCACAGGAGCATGTCTGTGGACCAGGTCTGCAGCCTGTCCAGTCCCTTTGTATGTTTGCCTGGTCGTCGTTCGGTGTATTTCTTCTCTCAACCATTGTCACGTTTCTCAATCTGCAAACAGGACACCTCAGAGTCTATTCCTTCCGTAATGTACGTTCACACAAATACCAGGAACAGCATGGTCCTAGGACTGAACACCCTTGCGGGACCCGCTGCTGGTCACATAGGTGCCCACTCTGAATCCTCGCCATACATACAAGTGTTAATTGTGTGTCTAGGTGTTGCTGTGTGTGTGTGTGTGTTTGTGTATGTGTGTGATGTATGTGTATGTTAGTTACCATTTTGTCCTGTAGGCACATGTCACATTAGTCACTAGGCACTGCTGTTATGCAAGTGTGCTGGTGTGTGTGTGTGGTGTGTGTGTGTGTGTGTGTGTTGTGTGTGTGTGTAGTGTCGTGTGTGTGTCGTGTGTCGTGTGTGTGTGTGTGTGTCGTGTGCAGTGTTTGTAACATACGTAAATAAGCTGTTGTTTGTAAAGATCAAGTTTGTAACTCCTGGTCCCTGCCTCTAAGCTTCATTGACAGGTTATTAGTTGTTTTATCATCTACTCATCCAATAAATCATGCGGCCTCCTCCTCTTAAAACGGTTAACAGCACAATATTTCAGTTTTAGCCTTCGCCATCTCCATACATTGTTCAATCCACTTCACTGTACCCTGACACTTAGAAAGTGCCCCTAACATTCTGTGACTCAACTGTGATTTGTAGCTTCCTTGTCAACTTGCTCTTGGTCCATACATTTCAAGTCTTTATCGGCTCCATCGCTACACCCAAGTAGTAACTGAAATGTGTTGTGTGTGTGTGTGTGTTGTGTGTGTGTGTGTGTGTGTGTGTGTGTGCGTGTATGGGTATGTGTACTCACCTATTTGTACTCAACCTATTTGTGGTTGCTGGAGGTGGGTCGAGTCCATAGTCCACTGGCCCCACGCCTCTTCACCACGGTTGCTACTAGGCCTCTCTCTCACACCGCTCCATGAGACTTTATAAAACCTTCGTCTTAAAAACTGTGTATGGTTCCCTGCCTCCACTACGTCATTTTCTATGCTATTCCACTGCCTTACAACTCTATGACTGAAGAAATACTTCCTACTATCTCTCTGACTCATTTGCGTCTTCAACTTCAATTGTGGCCTCTTGTTTCTGTGTCCCCTCCCTGAACATCCTGTCTTTGTCCACCTTGTCTATTCCACGCAGTATTTTATATGTCGTTATCATGTCTCCCCTGACCCTCCTGTCCTCCAGTGTGGGTCAGGCCGATTTCCCTTAATCTTTCCTCATAGGACATTCCCCTTAGCTCTGGAACTAACCTTGTTGCAAACCTTTGTACTTTCTCTAGTTTCTTGAGTGCTTTATCAAGTGCGGGTTCCAAACAGGTGCTGCATACTCCAGTATGGGCCTGGACATACACGGTGTACAGTGTCTTGAATGATTCTTACTAGGTATCGGAATGCTGTTCTCAGGTTTGCCAGGCGCCCATATGCTGCAGCAGTTATCTGATTGATGTGTGCTTCCGGAGACATGCTCGGTGTTATACTCACCCAAGATCTTTCTCTTGAGTGAGGTTTGCAGTCTTTGGCCACCTAGCCTATACTCTGTCTGTGGTCTTCTGTGCCCCTCCCCCATCTTCATGACTTTGCATTTGGCAGGATTAAATTCGAGAAGCCATTTGCTGGACAGGTGTCCAGTCTGTCCAGGTCTCTTTGAAGTCCTGCCTGGTCTCATCAGATTTAATTCTCCTCATTAACTTCACATCATCTGCAAACAGGGACACTTCTGAGTCTAACCTTCCGTCATGTCGTTCACATATACCAAAAATAGCACTGGTCCTAGGACCGACCCCTGTGGGACCCCGCTCGTCACAGGTGCCCACTGTGATACATCATTACGTACCATGACTCGTTGTTGCCTCCCTGTCAGGTATTCTTGATCCATTGCAGTGCCCTTCCCTGTTATATGCGCCTGATGCTCTAGCTTCTGCACTAATCTCTTGTGAGGAACTGTGTCAAAGGCCTTCTTGCAGTCCAAGAAGATGCAATCAACCCACCCCTCTCTCTCTTGTTTACTTCTGTTATTTTATCATAAAAACTCCAGAAGGTTTGTGACACAGGATTTGCCTTCCGTGAATCCGTGCTGGTTGGCATTTATACTCCTGTTCCGTTCCAGGTGCTCCACCACTCTCCTCCTGATAATCTTCTCCATAATTTTGCATACTATACACGTCAATGACACAGGGTCTATAGTTTAGTGCCTCTTTTCTGTCTCCTTTTTTAAAAATGGGAACTACATTTGCCGTCTTCCATACCTCAGGTAGTTGGCCCAGTTTCCAGGGATGTGTTGAAGATTGTGGTAAGTGGCACGCACAACATATCTGCTCCCTCTCTAAGGACCAAGGGGAGATGTTGTCTGGTCCCATTGCCTTTGAGGTATCGATGTCCCTTAGCAGTTTCTTCACCTCCTCCTCATCTGTATGTATGTCGTCCAACACTTGTTGGTGTATTCCTTGCTGGTGTCCCCATCTGGTCTGTCCCCCCAGAGTCCTTCCTGTCTCTACTGTAAATACTTCCTTAAATCTCGTGTTGAGCTCCTCACATACCTCTTGATCGTTTCTTGTGAATTCTCCACCTTCTTTCCTCAGCCTTATCTCCTGGTCCTTGACTGTTGTCTTCCTCCTAATGTGGCTATACAGCAGTTTCGGGTCAGATTTGACTTTCGATGCTATGTCGTTTTCATACTGTCGCTGGGCCTCCCTCCTTATCTGTGCATACTCGTTTCTGGCTCTTCTACTAATCTCCTTGTTTTCCTGGGTCCTATGCCTCTGTACCTTTTCCATTCTCTGTTGCACTTAGTTTTTGCCTCCCTACACCTTCGGGTAAACAAAGGACTCGTTTTGGTCTTCCTATTATTTCCGTTTCCCTTGGGAACAAAACTTTCCTCTGCCTCCTTGCACTTTGTTGCCACATATTCCATCATCTCGTTTACTGATTTTCCTACCATTTCTCTGTCCCACTGAACCTCCTGCAGGAAGTTTCTCATACCTGTGTAGTCCCCCCTTTTATAGTTTGGCCTGTCCCCTTCAGTTCCTGTTACCTTCTCCACTTGTAACTCTACTATATAGTCAAAACTCAGAACACATGATCGCTAGCTCCAAGGGGCCTCTCATAAGTGATGTCCTCAATGTCTGAACTGCTCAGGGTGAACACAAGATCCAGTCTTGCGGGCTCATCCTCCCCTCTCTCTCTGGTTGTGTCCCTGACATGTTGATGCATGAGGTTTTCAAGTACCACATCCATCATCTTGGCTCTCCATGTTTCGGGACCCCCATGTGGCTCCAGGTTTTCCCAGTCGATCTCCCTGTGGTTGAAATCGCCCATTACCAGTAACTTTGCTCTGCTCGAGTGAGCTCTTCTTGCCACCTCAGCCAGTGTGTGTGTGTGTGTGTGTGTGTGTGTGTGTGTGTGTGTGTGTGTGTGTGTGTGTGTGTGTGTGTTTGAAGGTTATGTAGGTATGGTGGGTTCAGTTTTGTAGAGCTTAGGCAAGGATTCTAGCTCTAATAATTATGTAGAGAATTTGATCACCTGTGTCCTGCGCGAGTTGTTCAACCACCACATGAGGGATAGGAGAGTTGGGAATGGGAAAGAGAGAGCTACCTGTTTACCTGGAGAGAGTTTCGGTGCTCAACGCCCCTCGCGGCCCGGTCTGAGACCAGGCTCATGGTGGATCAGGGTCTGATCAACCAGGCTGTTACTGCTGGCCGCACGCAAGCTGACGTACGAACCACAGCCCGGTTGGTCAGGTACTGACTTCAGGTGCCTGTCCACTGCCTTCTTGAAGACAGCCAGGAGTCTATTGGTATGTATGCTGGGAGGCAATTGAACAGTCTTGGGCCCCGGACACTTATTGTGTTGTCTCTGTGTACTCGTGGCGCCCCTGCTTTTCATCGGGGGAATGTTGCATCTCCTGTCGATTCTTTTGTTTTCATATGGAGTGATTTTCGTGCTAACGTTACTTAGTAAATATTTTTCTATTTATTATTGACTCAGAAACTCTGATTAATAATTTTAATTTTTATTCCTCTGTTTTGCAATTTCAGACAAGTCTCTACCGAAGATCTATTATCAAAAGTTTTTTGGAATCTAAATAATTGCAGTCAACCTATCCGGTCTTTTCCTGACTAATCTCTGTGACTATCCCAGTAGCTTGAGAGATTTGATGTACATAAAATTACTGATTAAAAACTGTGAGGCCAGTGCACACTGGCCTCTCAGTTTTAGGCCTCCCCCGCTATGGGTTCCAGCCCATCCTCTCTCTTCCATTCCATGATTTGTTTGTAATCGTGTTATTACGATTTCGCGAGTCCTAATTTTTCATCTTGTACAGAGGATCGTCCATCTTGCAACTTCCTGAGCCGAGTGTATGACCCAGAAGGTCGTGAGAAATGTGATGATGATGGTTGTCCGCAGGGAGACCTTACCAACACTCATGGTCAGCTCAGAGTTGGCACTAGTAGGTTAGTCAGCCACATACTTTAAGATATTGTCATCTAAAAGATAGTTCAGTGACCTGCATTGCTTCAGGGTATGTTGGTGAATTGTGGCAAATTTAACTAGCAAACCTCAGTATATATATCAACAAGATTAATTTTAGTGTGTTCCTTGCTCCTCGCAGATCTCGTTTTTCACGCAAGTTCTACTCAACCACAAAGATCACCCTTCCTGATTTGTCGGGACCCCGTAAACTTTACTTAGCTGTAATGGGCGCCCTCCACCCTGACCATCTGTGGGCATGTGCTAAACTTCGGGAAATCAAACCAAAATCTGCACGTGCCATTTTTAACTCACAAGGCATTACTGGGGAGGTTAGGCTGCAACAAGCCTCTGTCTTCAACCCAACGGAGCTAACGCTGGATTTAAAAGGTCTCTTGAGCGATGCAGGAGGATTTCATATTCACGAACTGCCAGTCCAGCCCAAGACCCACCCTGGGGACTTGCCCTGTGAGGCCACCAAGGGCCATTATAATCCATACAGTGTTGATCCTAGCACGTCCCCAGAGGCCGGCCTGGGAACCCACGATAAATATGAGCTTGGAGATTTGAGTGGTAAGCACGGCCTGCTGACTGGGCTGGAAGATGCTATGGCTACCGTCACTGACCACAACTTGCCGCTGTTTGGGCCACGCTCTGTTATGACGCGCAGTTTAGTCATTCATAAGGTATCTGGCACCCGCTGGGTGTGCGCCAACTTGCGCCCCACCACACCGCAGATCCGTGCAGTTATCACTTTCCGCTACCCTCTTGTGGGTGAGATAGTGTTTGAGCAGGAGGCAGACGACCCGCTAGCGGACACTCAGGTGTTAGTGACGCACCTGGTGTACTCTGATGGCAGTAAAAATGACACAAGTGGCCACCCCTGGCACGTCCACCAGCATGTACCCGGCAGAGACTTTTACAACTGGACCATGAGATGCGTCTCAGCTGGCCCTCATTACAACCCTTACAAGGTGAGGGCAAATCCTCATGACTTAACCTTTTTATGCTTCCTTAAAATGGTCACTGTTCCTGTGTAATAAAAGACTAACATTTTTACTTTTGTAATAATAGTTTATTGTGCTGTTTCGACTTTTTCACCCTGCAGGTGAGTTTGGTCGAAAAAGTGTATAAGGATTGCAACACAGACACTGCTGAACGTTGCGAGGTGGGTGATCTGCAAAGCCGTCATGGAAAACTTAAGGTGTCAGGGACTGTCCGTGGAGTGGCTGACACTCAGAGGCTTATGACTGACACCAACCTGCCGCTATCTGGCCCCATGTCTATCCTGGGACACTCCATTGTCATACATGATGAGCATGCTCCCAAGCACAGGGGAGACAGGATGGCGTGTGCTGGGTGAGTTTGAGTCAGAGGGAAAGAATAGGTTGAAAGAGGATTGTAAAAAGTGAAAGTAAATAAAAGGAAGGCAGTCGAGTGGAACAGGGAGAGTTTAGTTTAATATGTTTATTATGCACCCCATACCCATCCTGTGGGCGGTAGTCAAAAGATTACAGAGGTACATAATTGGTCCAGGGACTGGACTCCAAAGTTTTGATAGCTGAGCAAGTTACAGAGGTAATGAACTCACAATTTACAAAGGTAATGAACTCGCAATTTACAAAGGTAATGAACTCCAGGTAGGTCTGGTCACAATCATGACAAGTTACAAAGGTATTTACAGATTACAGAGGTACGTAATGGGTCCAGGGACTGGGGCCCCAAAGTTTTGATAGCTGAACTAGGTACAAAGGTAATAGAGAAAGTACAAAGATAGTTGGAGGCAAAATTTTAGAAAGTGAGAGGGGGGGGGAGCAAATTTGAGTAGATGAGAGTATGAAAAATTAATAAAAATCTTTAATGATAAAAGAATTGACAAAGTCATGTTTGTTTTTAAATTGTATGTTATTTTTTGCCTTTTTCATTGCTCTCTCATTCCTCTTACTCTTCCTTTTTATCACCTTATTATTTTCTCTTTCCTCTCCTTCACTGCCATAACACCTTCCTATGTATTGCCTTCCCCATCTCCCCCTCCCTTATTCCTCTCTTTGCTAACAGGATCTACCGACGATTCCGGCACAAAGGTGTGGTCAGCAAGTGGCATGCAACACAGGGCTCTGGCAAGGTGGAGGGCAGGGTGGAGTTTGTCCAGGAATCAGAGTACGACCTCACCAACACTCAGGTTGACCTCAGAGGACTTGAAGGTATAGCTAATGGCTATCATGTCCACATGGTGAGTCATACCCTCATCACCTTGCTCTTATCTGTGCTCACTTTTAACCCCCTCAGACTCGTCCGCTAACCTTCGCAACTTCTCTTTAAAATCTCCCAAAAGCACAATATCATTAGCAAAAAGTAACTGTCAGCTCCCATTTTGTATTTGATTCCCCATAATTTAATCCCACCCCTCATCCCAACACTCTCTCTTTCACACCTTAACCTGAGCCTCATTATCCCCATAAAATTTTTGTACAGCATTTTAAGTCCATAAATTCAGTGAAAATTTCCATACCTTAATCTAAATAATGTTCACTTGTTTGCTTCAATGTAAATACTTGATCTACACATCTCGTACCCATTGTAAAGCTTCCTTTTTTACATGCAATCTTGCTCTCTGTCTTACCTCTAATTCTTTCAATAATAACCCTACCATACACTTTACCTGATATGCTTAGTAAACTTATTCCCCTATAATTTTTACAATCTCTTTGTCCCCCTTCGCTTTATATGAAGGGATATTATATAATTAAATTTTTTTTTAACACGTCGGCCGTTTCCCGAGGCATGGTGACCCAAAACAGAAAAACCGAAAAAGAAAGAAAAAAACTTTAATCGTCATTTAACACTTTCACCATCACTCATACATAATCACTGTCTTTGCAGAGGTGCACAGATACAACTTAAACGTCCCTCCAAACTGCCAATATCCCAAACCCCTCCTTTAAAGTGCAGGCATTGTACTTCCCATTTCCAGGACTCGAGTCCGGCTGACTGGTTTCCCTGAATCCCTTCACAAAATATTACCTTGCTCACACTCCAACAGCTCGTCAGGTCCCAAAAACCATTCGTCTTCATTCACTCTATCTCTCGCACTCACGCATGCTTGCTGGTAGTCAAAGCCCCTCTCCCACAAAACATCCTTTACCCCCTCCCTCCAACGTTTTCGAGGACGACCCCTACCCCGCCTTCCTTCCCCAACAGATTTACATGCTCTCCAAGTCATTATACTTTGTTCCATTCTCTCTAAATGACCAAAGCACCTCAACAACCCCTCTTCAGCCCTCTGACTAATACTTTTATTAACTCCACACTCCCTCCAAATTTCCACACTACGAATTCTCTGCATAATATTTACACCAGGCATTGCCCTTAGACACATCTCCATTGCTTCTAGCCGCCTCCTCGCTGCAGAATTTACAAAAAAACAATAATTAATAGATCAACTTTCTGTTCTAATACCTTTAAAGGTTCAGTAATTTACTAATTTACTTACTAAAGCGCTGTACAATTTATTTACCGTTCGTACATTTCAAAAATGTACGAACGGTAAATAAATTGTAAACTCAAAAATCACATCAGAGACGGTACACGTTTCTTTAACATTACTTTCATTTTTTTTGTACTTGTATTTAAATTTGATTCCCTGGTTGTTTCTCAAGTCTGTATATTTGAGTATATCTTAGTTTGTCTTTAATTATTTTTACCTTCTGCTTCTTCGATTTTGGTTTGTCGTGTATAATTGCCCATTTTCCCCACTTTACCTGTTAAGCATTTCGAATTTTCTCTTGATTTACGTGCGCTCTACCTGGCTAATCCCATTCTCACAGGTACCTGTAGAGGGGGAGCTGGAGTTCCCATGTGCTGCAGCAACCACATTGGGCCACTACAACCCCCTCAATGTGACTGCTTCAGAGTCGCCGCCTCCTAGTGAGGGAACTCATGATCTGTACGAGGCTGGGGACCTGGCCGGTAAATATGGCACGCTGGAGGGACTCACCTGGAAGAAATCATTCTACAATGACACTAACCTTCAGCTCTTCGGCTCCACCTCAGTCATGGGCCGCTCAATTGTCATTCACAAGAAGGTCAAGAATGCTAGGTAGGTGGTGTCCGTGGCGTTGTGGGTAGTTTGTGGTGGTGTGAGTGGTAGTGTTGGTGTGGATGATAATGGTGTAGGTGTTAGGGGTGTGGCCTGTGGTGGTGGTGATGTAAGTGCTCTTGTGATTACTTATTTGTAGCTACAGAAAAAGAGCAAAACTATTGTTTCGTCTTCAGTATATAGGGTATCGTGATTTTTTGTTTTAATTGTCCGGTTTTTATAGCGCCTAATACTGTACATCATTGTTAACCATTCCATTATTTTGCCTCTGTTTTAATTGCACAGTATGTTCTTTGTGCAGCTTGTCTTTAGTTTTCCCGTTTCTATTGCGTAACACCAACCCGCACTAAATTCCATTATCCATCTCTTACTCCACTTGTTCAGTCTGCAAGAATACACAGTAATTTTTATAACTTCCTCGGCATCATACTCGGGTGACCACACAACTGAACTTAATAAAAATTGCTCTTTAGAAGCCTCAAGCCGGCGCACCGTGGACGATGTACAAAATAGACATCTACCATATTTGGGGTGTATAACTATACAAGAACAACAGTACTAGATTTCAGGATCTGCAGGAGGCCTACAAAGATAGGCTGTTAAACTTCTCGTCACACCATAACGTGAGGACAAAGAAGAATAATCAATCATGGGACTCTACAACGAGAAACTACTGCTGGCAGCTATGCCATTCCATGTGGGTGAGGGGTGGGGGTGCGATAAATTATACATGGAACCCTTTAAAAGATTGGAACAACACATTAAGAAATACAGGTATGCATGCCAGAGATATTTTAATTATTACCATTACTTTTCTCCGAATTTCTCCAAACCATCCCATGATCTTCAGAGAAACTAACCAGCACCACAGGCACTGTTTAGAGTCTGCTCTTATTACCACAACCATCACTTAAAAAGAATTGAGTTTTATGATTTCAGATGTTCTCTCCAGGCGCAACCTACTCAAAACCGTACACAGTATTGCACAGATAAACCCCCTAGTGGGCGAAACGTCTCCTTTGTATGTTACATATATGGCAGAAGGCTTACTGTCCCGTGCCAGGCAGGTCATATTCAAACCAAACCGTTTATACTCTTGTACTTGTCTTGGTCTTTTTCACTCGTCTGTGTATTGTTCACGATATACTTGCTCCATACATCTCTACTTCCTAAATCTGTCTTGTTCCTTTCAAGTCTTATTTACTATAATTTGTTTTTCTTCCACCTTTCTCCATTTCACCTTGATATTTTTTAATCATATTTAATCACACATTAATTACTTTATCTTCTCCTGTGCCCTCCGCAGGTGGTTTTGTGGCAGTATCGGCTGGGGTTACTCCCCTGCTGAGGCTCGCCAGGTCTCTGCAATAGCCTCCTTCCATAACCCACAAGGCTATGCTTGGGGCTACGTCAGGATGGTGAGTACAATACCTCAGGGATATGATTGGGGCCATGTCGGGATATTGAGTACAGTACCTCAGAGCTACACGTGGTGCTATTGTCAGGTTGATGTACCGTAATTTAGGGCTATGCTTGGGGCTTCATAATGTTGCACAGTACCTCAGGGCTAAGATTTAAACAACGTTAGGATGGTCAGTGTATTACCTCAGCCTAAAAGCATCTTCAGCGAATGTTTGTATCACAGCTTCATCTCTGGAGTAAAGAAATACCTGAAATTTAAGGATTGGCTATTTTAAAGTCGTCAGTGCTCCCGTCCTCCAAATAACCCAATTACTACGAATCTCTGTGTTAGGATAGAATTCCTGCCTTGAAATATGACTTTCATATTGCAACCCATGAGCCAGGATGATGGGTGTTTTTAAAAAATACTATAGTTCATGGGCTTTTCCAGGCATTTTAAATGATTGATAGTGATCCAACATATGTAAAAAAAAAAATGGTCAGAAGAACTACGTATTGATAAACTATCTGCAACATCAGTTGATGAAACAGCCATTAACACTTACTGGAAGTTGTGGTCGGCGAGTTTAGTGGTTTCCCCTGGAAGTTGTGGTCGGCGAGTTTAGTGGTTTCCCCAATATTACTAAGATCGAAAGAATTGAGGACGGCACAACAGCTTTTTAAGGTTTTATGATATGAAGAATATTGATATGGAGGAAGTATATTTTATATTGTCCCCCTGTATTTTTAACTTCACTCTTTAGACCTTTTTTCTTGCTTGTGTTTGTTATTATTGATTATGATACTTGTAGTAAAATATATATAATTTGCAATTTAAATGTTTTTTATAACTTCAAGAAGCCTAGTTTTTATTCCCTTACAGAATATAGCCTAAGCTAATGGTTCAATTATTGTAGTAAGTCAGTTGTAACTTTTTTGCGAGTGTGAGAAGAACAAGTCCCGATTGATTTTGCAAGCAACATTGAGCCTGTTACACGAGTTGTTGGTTCTTTGGTGTCTATCAAGTGCTTAGGTGTGGAATATTCTAAGATTGCAGTAAACTATTTATGAGAGAAGAGGCTGACGAGAGGAAGTGGAGGGAATAAGTTCCATCATTTAGTTGTCACTGAGACGGAAATTACTAAGACTTGTGTCAAAGATATATATAATTTGGTTGGTCAATGTTAATAAATGCATTTGTGAGCCAAAAATCGGCACGGAGCTGTCAATGAACTGTGACAACCATCATTGTGGAGATAGTGTTGTGAAGCTAGAGGTAAGCCTCGCTTGTGAAGTATTTTGTAGAGTAACAATACCTACTGAAATGAGTCTTAATGTACCTTTAATTTTTTGTGAATACAGATTTTGACCAAATCTTATCACTTCTGTATATAATAGTAGCTTCAGTGATTACATAGAAGCTATTCATAACATACATCAGCGAAAGAACATCAGTAACTGTGGCCAGTTCATATTCCAACTCTGTTATATTTGTACTTGTATCCCAATCTATATTCCTCATCTTTTCTCTATTCAGTGTTACCCTACCAAATACTATATCTAATTTATAAATTAATCTCTTCTAGCGCCAGCTGATCTACCAGGATGGCTCATTCGATGAGACATTTATTGAAATCAACCTTCGTCACCCTGGCACCAACAACCGCAACATCGTAAGCATTGCTGCATTTCTCTTATTCTTTGCTGCCTTTTCTTGACTTTCTCTTGCCCATTTATCCCCTCTTCTTCATTTGTCAAACCTAGTCCTTAGCTGATTTTTTCCTCTTTCAGTTAATATTCTACTTTTCACCTGTTCTCCCTTACGTTTTTTCTCGATTCCCATGTTCTGTTAATATAATAATAATTTTATCTTTATTTACTACAAGTACATGTAATACAGGCCTAGCTGACATCAATGAGGAACACTAGTTTAATTGTTTAGTCACTCTTCACCTTCTATACAAGCATTTCTTTCATTTTTTTTATCTTGGCTAATCACATTGTGCAGACTCGTCGACATAACTGGTCAGTGTATGTGAACCCCGTGGGAGTGGATGCTGGTGTGAAGTTCTTCCAGTCGCGGTGTGTGGCTGCTGGATACCGCTGGAACCCCTACCTCATCCACCTTGCCTTCCCTAATGATGTACGTCATGACATATTCTTTCTTCAGTAAATTAAATCAGAGTCATGCTGAAGGAAGATTAGTGTACCCTTCCGGAAGTCATATATTCTATCACTACGTGACTTATGTCATGGGCATTATTGATCCCCTAAACTCACCGTAATTTATTTAAAAGGGTTTGATTTACTCTTGCTTCCATTACTAAGTTCTAGAATTATTATCCATTAGTAGGGTTCAGTAAGGCAAATAGTATGTGTATAGTAAAACCTCTGGTTAAAAACGTTTGTATTATCAGCAGTTTTGAATTATATATATACTATGTAAATAGTGTAATGCACACACACATCAGTACTATATATGCTGTATATTAACAAACACTCGCAATAGCGCTTCCAAATTCTGTAACTATGCTACTACCCCCAGCGGGACTTCTACGAGAGGGAGTGTGGACCAGCAGTGCCTCTCAGGTGCGATGTTGGAGACCTGTCAGGACGGCTTGGCACCATTGATGTTGGTCACAAGAGATACGTTTTTGTTGATCGAAATCTTCCTCTGTGTGAGTACAACATTAAAAGCAATAATTGGTAATTCGTATAGACAATAAAGAAATGGGATCAAAATTAATAACTAGAGTACTATATTTAGTATTGTTAAGTACTTTAACAGGGACTAAAACCAGGGTAAGCTAGAAAAAAAATTGGTAGATAAATAGGATGCAAATGACAGAGATTTAAATAGAGGTTAATTTTAATTGTTATTAATACCTAAAAAGATATTCACCGTAAAGAGTGTAATGGGTAGGTACTGTGAAAGTTTTAATAAAAACTTTAGTAATACTATAGCCAAACGGTTTTAATAAAACACCAAAAATTTAATAACAATGGGGCAAAAACCCTTTCAAAATAAACCATTCTTTAAAATAAAATAAGGGGAAATTAAAAACAAAAATTCTATCAGTTGTATTGGTTTACGTTATGGTTGGCTTCCACACTACCTTAAAGCATCTTTTGTATATATAATTTTTTTCTGTGTTCTAAACTTTAAAGTGTTTAAAAATTAAAATTTTCCCTCATATGTACCTGACTTGTTTCATCAAACTGTGGTTTCTTCTTTTAATTATGTTTCCTTCTTGATGTACAGACAAACTATTATATTATTCCGTAGATATTTTACTACATTTAACGACTATTGGAGTAATAATAGCCCAAAACTGTCTGAATTTAGGCATAACAAATTTTCACATATTTAAGACTCGAAACCGTAAACTTTCACCTTCATTCATTATCTGTGACTTCCCAACCGCCTCTTCAGAGTGCAGACACTACTTCCCAACCGCCTCTTCAGAGTGCAGACACTACTTCCCAACCGCCTCTTCAGAGTGCAGACACTACTTCCCAACCGCCTCTTCAGAGTGCAGACACTACTTCCCAACCGCCTCTTCAGAGTGCAGACACTACTTCCCAACCGCCTCTTCAGAGTGCAGACACTACTTCCCAACCGCCTCTTCAGAGTGCAGACACTACTTCCCAACCGCTTCTTCAGAGTGCAGACACTACTTCTCACTGCTTCTTCAGAGTGCAGACACTACTTCTCACTACTTCTTCAGAGTGCAGACACTACTTCCCAACCGCCTCTTCAGAGTGCAGACACTACTTCCCAACCGCCTCTTCAGAGTGCAGACACTACTTCCCAACCGCCTCTTCAGAGTGCAGACACTACTTCCCAACCGCTTCTTCAGAGTGCAGACACTACTTCTCACTGCTTCTTCAGAGTGCAGACACTACTTCTCACTACTTCTTCAGAGTGCAGACACTACTTCCCAACCGCCTCTTCAGAGTGCAGACACTACTTCTCACCGCCTCTTCAGAGTGCAGACACTACTTCTCACTACTTCTTCAGAGTGCAGACACTACTTCTCACTGCTTCTTCAGAGTGCAGACACTACTTCTCACCGCCTCTTCAGAGTGCAGACACTACTTCTCACTGCTTCTTCAGAGTGCAGACACTACTTCTCACCTCCTCTTCAGAGTGCAGACACTACTTCTCACTACTTCTTCAGAGTGCAGACACTACTTCTCACTGCTTCTTCAGAGTGCAGACACTACTTCTCACCGCCTCTTCAGAGTGCAGACACTACTTCTCACCGCCTCTTCAGAGTGCAGACACTACTTCTCACCGCCTCTTCAGAGTGCAGACACTACTTCTCACTACTTCTTCAGAGTGCAGACACTACTTCTCACTGCCTCTACAGAGTGCAGACACTACTTCTCACTGCTTCTTCAGAGTGCAGACACTACTTCTCACTGCTTCTTCAGAGTGCAGACACTACTTCTCACTGCTTCTTCAGAGTGCAGACACTACTTCTCACTGCTTCAGAGTGCAGACACTACTTCTCACTGCTTCTTCAGAGTGCAGACACTACTTCTCACTGCTTCTTCAGAGTGCAGACACTACTTCTCACTGCTTCTTCAGAGTGCAGACACTACTTCTCACTGCTTCTTCAGAGTGCAGACACTACTTCTCACTGCTTCTTCAGAGTGCAGACACTACTTCTCACTGCTTCTTCAGAGTGCAGACACTACTTCTCACTGCTTCTTCAGAGTGCAGACACTACTTCTCACTGCTTCTTCAGAGTGCAGACACTACTTCTCACTGCTTCTTCAGAGTGCAGACACTACTTCTCACTGCTTCAGAGTGCAGACACTACTTCTCACTGCTTCTTCAGAGTGCAGACACTACTTCTCACTGCCTCTACAGAGTGCAGACACTACTTCTCACTGCTTCTTCAGAGTGCAGACACTACTTCTCACTGCTTCTTCAGAGTGCAGACACTACTTCTCACTGCTTCTTCAGAGTGCAGACACTACTTCTCACTGCTTCAGAGTGCAGACACTACTTCTCACTGCTTCTTCAGAGTGCAGACACTACTTCTCACTGCTTCTTCAGAGTGCAGACACTACTTCTCACTGCTTCTTCAGAGTGCAGACACTACTTCTCACTGCTTCTTCAGAGTGCAGACACTACTTCTCACTGCTTCTTCAGAGTGCAGACACTACTTCTCACTGCTTCTTCAGAGTGCAGACACTACTTCTCACTGCTTCTTCAGAGTGCAGACACTACTTCTCACCTCTGCTCACATTCCCTCTGTTACGACATTTACTATTACACTTCATTACATCCTATTTTTCAACCGTCATTTTTTTTCTCACACCCTAACTTGCTCCCTCTGATATATTCAAGTTTGTCCTCAGCTGGCCCTCATGGCATCATGAACAGAGCCCTAATCATCCATAATGAAAATGCTGGAGTCGAGAGATTTGCGTGTGCCAACATCCAACCAGACGATGACATCATAAAATGGGTCATCATCAGAAAGACGCCGAAGTTCACTGCGTGAGTACAAGTGTAGGGAAGTGAGTACAAGTGTAGGGAAGTGAGTACAAGTGTAGGGAAGTGAGTACAAGTGTAGGGAAGTGAGTACAAGTGTAGGGAAGTGAGTACAAGTGTAGGGAAGGAAGGAGTTGAGGGAACAACAAATGAACAGCAAACAAAAGAATATAATTGTAAAAAAAACTGTTGGGGGGGTTGAGAATGGGAGTAAAATTGTGAGAGATGTTGGAAATAAATTAAAGGAAAAAGGAAGAGGAATAATGAAAATGACAAGTACAAAGCACTATTGCAATAAAGTATGTAGAGGTGTTCTGTAATTTGGAGATAAGTGATCAAATGGGTTAAAATACAAGCAGTTTGCAAGACGATCTTTTGTTGTACAGTATTTCACTTAAGCGGGAACTTTCTCATATAAAGGAACACAAAATGTGTACTATAATATTTTATCAGTGTGTTTGATATAATTATGTTTAACATCAGTCCATACTTCCAAAGAATGAGTCAAGACGTTATGTAAGGATGACAAGTCATTGATTTTGTTCTACGGTGTATTGTCTTTATAATCACTGTTTTGAGGCATGTCTTCTGCATCCTGTATTGTCTTTATAATCACTGTTTTGAGGCATGTCTTCTGCATCCTGTATTGTCTTTATAATCACTGTTTTGAGGCATGTCTTCTGCATCCTGTATTGTCTTAATTATCAGACATAACGGAATAACACTACGCTGGCATTCAAAAAGAAAGACAAGGCAGGAAAAATATTAAAAACAGTATTTATATTTACATGTGTGTAAAGGTAGGAAGTTGAAAGTGAACATAGATAAGAGTAAGGTGATGAGGGTATCAAACGATTTAGATAAAGAAGAATTGAATATCACACTGGAGGGAGGGAGTATGGAAGAAGTGAATGTGTTCAGATATTTGGCAGTTGACTTGTCAGCAAGATAAGATTTCGTTCGGATTTTTAACCCCGGAGGGTTAGCCACCCAGGATAACCCAAGAAAGTCAGTGCGTCATCGAGGACTGTCTAACTTATTTCCATTGGGGTCCTTAATCTTGTCCCCCAGGATGCGACCCACACCAGTCGACTAACACCCAGGTACCTATTTGCTGCTAGGTGAACAGGACAACAGGTGTAAGGAAACGTGTCGAAATGTTTCCACCCGCCGGGAATCGAACCCGGGCCCTCCGTGTGTGAGGCGGGAGCTTTAGCCACCAGGCCACCGGGCCATGGGTTTGTGAAGGACGAGGTTAACCATAGAATTGACGAAGAAAAATAGGAGTGTTGTTTTGATATTTGGGGAGACGAAAAACGTTATTCATAGAGGCAAAGAGGGATATGTACGTGAGTATAGTGGTACCAACATTTACATGGGCGTGAAGCATGGGTTGTAACTGCTGCAGCAAGGAGGAGGCTGGAGGCAGTGGAGATGTCGTGTCTAAGGGCAATGTGTGATGTAAATCTTATGCAGAGAATTCGTAGTGTGGAAATTAGGAGGTGTGGTGTTACTAAAAGTGTTAGTCAGAGGGCTGAAGAGGGGTTGTTGAGGTAGTTTGGTCATTTAGAGAGGATGGAACAATGTAGAATGACTTGGAGAGCGCATAAATCTGTAGGGGAAGGAAGGCAGGGTAGGGGTCGTCCTAGGAAAGGTTGGAGGGAGGTGGGTAAAGGAGGTTTTGTGGGAGAGGGGCTTGGACTTCCAGCAAGCATACGTGACCGTGTTGAATAGGAGTGAATGGAGATGAATGGTTTTTGGGACCCGACGAGCTGTTGGAGTGTGAGCAAGGTATTATTTTGGGAAGGGATTCATGGAAACCGATTAACCGGACTTAAGTCATGGAGGTGGGAAGTACAGTGTCTGTACTTTAAAGGAAGGGTTTGGGATATTGGCTGCTTGGAGGGACGTCTTAACTGCCGTATCTGAGCTACTCTGCAAAGACAGTGATTGTGTGAGTGATAGTGAAGGTTTTGAAAGATAAAAGTTTTTTCTTTCTTTTTGGACTTTTCTTTCTTTTTGGATCACCCTGCCTCGGTGGGAAACTGCCTACGTGTTAAAAAATTGTATAAACCAGTATAAGACACCATTGAACACAGTTTCGTTGCTTTCATCATTGCACAGTATAATGCACAACCCATCGCACAACTCATTCTCTAAAAGCATGAATCAACTGACCCATCTACAGTAGATGTTGGTCACTCAACATCGCCCACTGTAAAAGAGACAACAATAATGAACATATGCTGCTTGACTGAGTATGAGCTTTATGATGATGATACATAGCTGGGTATGTCAAAAAATTTCTCCAGTTCAGAATTTTTTTTAGTGATTCGCAGGCTTTTTTTTTATTAATTCTATATTATAAAATAATGAACAACCCTGTATTGTTTATTATCAAGTTATTTTGCTCCTGTGGCCATCAGTCATTAAAGTTTATCACCAAAATATACTTGAAAACTCAACGTGCATAAGTCCCTTCTGTCTTTGTTTTGTCTTTGATCTTTAAAAGTCTGCTGAGTCAGAAACAGCGATGATCAGCAGACAGAAAGAAGGAGCTTTCAATATTCCTTGTACTGAATAATTTGCACTAGTTGAGCACGTCATCAATTAAATCGTCTTTCAACAAACCGGCCGTATTCCACCGAGGCAGGGTGGCCCAAAAAGAAAAACGGAAGTTTCTCTTTTTAAATTTAGTAAAATATACAGGAGAATGGGTTACTAGCCCCTTACTCCCGACATTTTAGTCACCTCTTAAGACACGCATGGTTTACGGAGGGAGAATTCTGCTCCACATCCACTTCCCCATGGAGATCAAGTAAATCTTCTTCCATTTATCATCTCTCACAAATTTTTCTTCATATCTTTGTGTTTTATATTGCCCTTTTACCGCTTCATAATTTGATCTCACATTGTACAGGATAACATTTATGGATGATATGCGAGAAGTGCTGGGAGCCCCAGAGTGGTACCTGGCTGCTGACCTACAGACAGTCTCCTTCTCCTCCGACCTCCAGTGTGTCACCTTTGTCATCCATTTTATGGGTAACTTCTGCGTTTTTGAAGGCATCACTTTGTGTATATATACTTTATTTGTAATAGATATTGATATTAACAATTTTCTTCTTCTTATTCTTTTTAGTAAACATTACAGGACAAGGGGTTACTAGCCCATTGTTCCCGGCATTTTAGTTAACTTTTACAACACGCATGGCTTATGGAGGAAATATTCTTATTCCACTTCCCTATGCATATAAAAGGAAAAGTAATAAGAACAAGAACTATAAAGATAAAATCAAAGAAAACTCAGATGAGTGTGTGGAAATAAGTCACTCTGTCTGACTTTTTTGAGTTACCCCAGGTTCTCTACACATATGCTGCTATATATAATAATTCTATGTAACTGTATAGTGTATACCTGAATAAACTTACTTATGTATGTGTAGTGTGACCTAAGTGTAAGTAGAAGTAGCAAGACTTACCTGTAATCTTGCATATTTATGAGACAGACAAAAGACACCAGCAATCCTACCATCATGTAAAACAATTACAGGCTTTCGTTTTACTCATTTGTCAGGACGGTAGTAACTTCCTGGGCGGTTGCTGTCTACCAACCTACTACTGCTTATGTTGTGTATATTTGTACATCTATGCTTCTAAACTGTTGTATTCTGATCACCTCTGCAAAAACAGTGATTATGTGTGAGTGAGGTGAAAGTGTTGAATGTTGAAAGTATTTTGTTTTTGGGTCACCCTGCCTCGGTGGGAGACGGCCGACTTGTTGATATATATATATATATATATATATATAATATATATATATATATATATATATATATATATATATATATATATATAGATATATATATATAGATATATATATATATATATATATATATATATATATATATATATATATATATATATATATATATATATAGATATATATATATATATATATATATATATATATATATATATATATATATATATATATATATATATATATACCTGGAGACCTGGAGAGAGTTCCGGGGGTCAACGCCCCCGCGGCCCGGTCTGTGACCAGGCCTCCTGGTGGATCAGAGCCTGATCAACCAGGCTGTTGCTGCTGGCTGCACGCAAACCAACGTACGAGCCACAGCCCGGCTGATCAGGAACTGACTTTAGGTGCTTGTCCAGTGCCAGCTTGAAGACTGCCAGGGGTCTGTTGATAATCCCCCTTATGTGTGCTGGGAGGCAGTTGAACAGTCTCGGGCCCCTGACACTTATTGTATGGTCTCTTAACGTGCTAGTGACACCCCTGCTTTTCATTGGGGGGATGGTGCATCGTCTGCCAAGTCTTTTGCTTTCATAGTGAGTGATTTTCGTGTGCAAGTTCGGTACTAGTCCCTCTAGGATTTTCCAGGTGTATATAATCATGCATCTCTCCCGCCTGCATTCCAGGGAGTACAGGTTCAGGAACGTCAAGCACTCCCAGTAATTCAGGTTTTTAATCTCCGTTATGGGCCGTAAAGGTTCTTTACATTTTCTAGGTCAGAATTTCACCTCTTGTAATGGTGTTATGTGCAGCAATATTCCGCCTAATAAACAAGCGACCTGAAAGTTCTAGGGGGAAGGGGGCTAAATTTTGGGTGTAGGGAGGGGGTTTTACTTTCCAGAAAAAGTTGGTTTTGAAGGGAGTGTAATTCCCCAGGGTTTTAACACTTTTTATAGATGGATTTGTAAAAGAAGTAAATGCTGGGGTTTTTGGGGGGGGGGGGATTAAATTTGCGAACAAATAAAAATTGGGATTTGACATTTTATTTTGGGGTATACTTGTTTTTCGAGATTTTTTAAAGAGAAGTTGAAAAGGGGTTAGTGAACGTTTTGGGGGTTTGTGAAAGGGAAAGTTGCAAGTAAACATAGATAAATAAGGTACGGGGGGTATAAACGCGTTGGAAAGAAAAATTGTATCCATTGGAGGGAGGGAGTTGGAAAAGTGAACGTTTTCAGATATTTGGGGTAGTTTGTAGCAGAGGGGTTTGAAGGAGGGGTTAACCATAGTTGTTTAAAGGAAAAAAGGTGAGGGGTGCATTGAGTATTGTGGAGACTTAAACTTTACCCAGGGGGAAAAAGAGGGGAATGTAGAGAGTATGTGGTAAACACTTGTAGGGGTGTAAGGAATGGTGTGAATGCGCAGCGGGGGGAGGCTGGGGGCAATGGAATGTCGTATCTTGGGCAATGTGTGGTGAAAATTTTTTGGCAAAACTTTTTGGGGGAAAATTTTATGGAGGTTGTAGAGTTACAAAGATATTATTCAAAAGGTAAAAATGGGTTACCGAGGTATTTTTGGTCATTTAGAGAGGTTGAAAAAAATATTGATTTGGGAGGGGTATGAATCTGTAGTGGAGGGGAAAGGGTCGTTGGGAAAGGATGGGGGGAGGGGGAAAAAAGAGTTTTTGTGTGAAAGGGGGCCCTGAAAAAGGGGGGGCGGGGCCCGGGGGGGGGGGGGCCCTGGGGGGGAGCTTTTTTGGGAAAAATTTAAACCTTTTTTGAGTTTTGGGGTTTTGGGGAAAAAATTTTTTTGGGGTTAAACGGAAGGGTTTTTTTTTTTTGGGATCCGGGGGAGGGGGAAAAAAAAGGTTTTTTTTTTTGTTTTTTTTTTTGGAAAAGTTAAAAACCCCATGAATTCCAGGAAAACGTTTAACCCGGGTTTTTTAAACCCCCCCCTTTTTTTGAGGTTGGGAAAAAGTAATTTTTTTTTTTTTGGGCCCCCCTTTTTTTTTAAAAGATTTTGTATTGGCGTTTTTAAGTAACATAAATTTTTATTGGCAACGGGAAGAAGTGATTTGGTATTGGGGTGGTTTTTTTAAAAACCCTTTTCCCTTCGTGGGAACCAGAAAAAAACCCCCCTAAAATTTATCACCCTTGGGGGTTTAAATACATCCTGGATGACAAGTTATCATTTTAAATAAAAATATTAAAAATTTTAAAATAAAAATGTCTGGAGTTTTTTGACAATAAAACCTAATTCTGTGTCTTTGTGAGAATAAAATCAAATTAATGTTTCTTTTCTTAACCAAAACTTGCCGATAATTTTATTTTTGGGGATTATACCATCAACATTTAGCATTTGTTAAGGAAAATTTTTTTACCATTGGGCCCAAAACCTTTAAAAAATTTTGCATTGCTGTGCTTTAGCCATTTTGGTTTTACTGAAACCAAAAAAGTTTTGGGGGGGTTTTTTGGGTAAATCTATAATTATTCATTTAAAAAAAGTTTAAATATTTTGAATAAAAAAAAACGTAAAAATTTTAATAATAAAACATATTTATTGTCAGTTTTAAAAAGGGTAAATTTTAAATTTCGTGTTTGAAAAAATTTTCAAAAGAAAAGATTAAAAAGGAAAAAACCTTTTTTAAAAATTTTCCACCACAAAAAAATTTTGTTTTCGTCACATTTGCAAAAAAACATTGTATAACCTACCCAATTTTTTCAAATTTATTAAAAGAAAAATTTTAGAAAAATTAAAAAATTTTAATGTAACAATTATTTTGTTTAATTAAACTATGGGGGAACCCCTTAAAATCCTGGTTTGGGGGGGAACCCACCATGGAAAAAAAAAATTTTTTGGAATTAATTGTTTTTTTACCCAGAACCCTCTGGTGAAAAAATTGGGGGAAAAAGTTTATGGTGGTTATTCTTATGAGGGGCGCTGCTGGTGTGGCCCCCTTTTATATTTCTTTTGGTATTATTTCCGTCTGCCTTACTAAGGTTTACTTCCCCCAACCGCTTGCTTTTCCCATTTTATTCCCGTCCGGCAAATGTTCTTCTTGAAGGGTTTTTAAAAGAAATTCAAATAAATTTTTTTTTAAAAAAAGTTCGGCGAAAAATGGTTCCGGGTTGTATTTTGGGGTTTAAGCTATTTTTTAAAAAAGATTACAGGGAGAGTAGCTTGAAAGCTACAGGGTTTAACTGGGTTGTGCTACAGGGAGGCTAGGTTTTTAGCATCCGGCTACAGTATTTACTCAAAGTTTTTAACGTTTCCAATTTTTGAATTACTCCCTCTTGAAAGCCTCCATTGATCACCATTTTTAAAACAAATTTTCCCACTATCTATCTTAGCTCTTTTTTTTGAGTTGAAAATTTGTGCCTATGTGGGAAAGAAACTTTCCCTTTTGTTTTGTTTTTTTTTAAAAAATTTGAATTTTTTAAGTTTTTTATTTCCTATCAGAAAAAGATGACATAATACCTTTTTATGATTTCCCTTTTTTAAACAAGAGATAAGATTCTCTTCTATTTTTAACCCCGGGGGGTTAGCCCCCGGGAAAAAAAACCTGAAAGTCATGGTCATCGGGGGACTGTATTATTTCCTTATGGTCCCCGTTTGTCCCCAGGGTCGCCCCAAAACCCTCGACTAAACCCAGGGACCTATTTGCTGTAGGTGAACAGGAAAAAGGTGTAAGGGAATGCGTCGAAATGTTTCCCCCGCCGGGGAAACGAAAACCCCCGGGCCTCCCTGTGTGAAGCGAGAGCTTTCCACAGGGCACCGGGGCCCCAATTCAACCCCAAACATTTTTAGGAAAATCACAAATGCAACTAATGTGACATTTTATTGTGGGAAAGTTTCGCTCTCCAGGGGCTTTATCAAGCATTCAAACAAAACATGGCACGAAGGGATGTAGGCTTGTGAGGTGTAAAAATTTTTAAATTAGTAGTAGAGTGTAATACAATTGGGGAGAAAAAATCAATTTGCACTTGTGCTTTTTCCCAACTATTTTGGGGGGAAATTTTAGAAAATTTAATACAACCCCACTCATTTGCTCGCTGAGCAGATTTGGTTTTTAAATAACATTAGCCCGTTTCTCCAATTTTGATTTTAATTTTCTTGGACCTTTATAACCCCTAACTTTATAAAACCCCCCTCTCGCTCCTTTAACCCGCACATCCTCCCACATTTTATATATAAATAGTAAAAACCCGTAGTAAGTGTGGATATTTTTTTAATTTAGGGTTTTAACCTTTGAAAAGGGGGGGTGAAGCTTCCAGAACTTTATTACATG